ACAATCAAAGGCCGAATAAGCAAAATAAGCAGCATTAGAGATCTGAGGAGAGCTCTGTTAGGTGACAGATTGCCCCAAGAGTTCAGCTAAACTGCCACAAAACCATTTAAACAGCAAAAGAAAATTGCTTTTGAAATTTAGTTGTTTTCGATAAACTCTGCAAACAAACCTAAACAATCGGGTGCTTGTGTTGAAAATTCCCAAAAGACAAATAATTCATATACTTCGAATAAAAAATAAAATATTTCGTTAATATATTAAAACCATAATACAGGCAAAGAATTGAAACAAAGCCTGACTTAAGAGATGACTAATGCGAGATTCATGCAACGCAACAATAGGCAGAAAGCTGATTCGAACTTTAATACAAGATTACGACCATTTATCTTGGCCCTGCTGCTACATAAAGTGGCTTGAATAAATGCATAGTTTAAGAGGATTTTGGATAAAAGAATGTCATTTTATTAGGAAACACTAAGCTATTCATAAATAGTGTGTTTTCTCTTAAGAAAAAAGAGAGAATATTAGCTCAAATCGTACACTTTATGGTAGTTCCAGCATTAACAAGGAGCAGAGCTACGAGTCAAGATGCTGAAGCAGAAAGCAATTGCAAGTTCAAGTAGCTGCCATCTGCTCTAACAGCTAGTCTCTACTAGCTTCCGGTTGCTGGGGATGCTTCGGTGCATATGTTGCCACTGACATCCAAATGGGAACTTCATTGCAATTAAACACTCAATTTGCAGTCCCTCTCTTGAAATGTTTATAAATGAAATTTGGGCAAAGGTAAAGTTTGTGCGCCGCTGGGCGACATTCGGCGATGAAAGGGCGAGGGACAGTGAGCTGAAAGGCTGGAGAGGAGACAACGTCAACAGAAGTCGCAAAAAAAAAAACAAATAGTAAAAGCAAAATGGCGACCCGGAACTTTGGTTGTTGTGGAGTCGGTAGTTCCAGGTAAAGACGCCGACGCTGACGCTGCGCATTTGCTGTAGATTATTACAAAAGTTTAAATACACAGACAGATAGAGCGACGGCAAGTTGTGCTTATATAAAGCCCTCTGGTGTTTTGAGTTTTGCTTGTCGACGACGACCAGAGCCAGCAGGACGCTGCAGTCGAGCGGGTGCAGGTGAATCCACGGCCGACCCAAACTCTCAAGAAGCTAAACTGAGTTCGAGTTCTAGTTCGAGGCTTTCAAATAGCCTTGGCAGTTACAATTGCACATGGCAGAGTTTTCAAAGAGTTCTTAGCCTAGCGTATGTCGTCAGACCGTAAATTGTTTGGTTAAAAGTTTAGAAATGCCAAAAACTGGGCAACAGCCGCCGCTTAAGGGGGATTGTAAGGGTAATTGTACTTGGTATCGCTTCTGACATTGAGCGATATAACTAATTGGCTGAGATAAGATAGTTCGGGATATCGAGTTTAACTGAATGAATTAAGTTTTTACCATTTGACATGCATCTAATCCCTGCTTAATTATGTTTATGTCAATTATTTTTTTCTAATATCCGATAGGTCGAAAATGCATTGTTTACGAAAAACAAATATTTTGAATAACTGAAGAGCCAAAGGGAGGCACATTTATGTTAGAATTCGACAAAAGTACACAAACTCTTACAAAACGGATGTGCTAATTGCTATGTCAGGATATAAGTTGAATTTCTGGCAATTTCCTGGCGGGAGTTTCGAATTTTCCGCCACCTTTTAGCAGCCGGCATGTGTGTGTATATGTGTGTGTGTGTGCTTTAAGTCTTTTGTGTGTCTTTAAGCGATGTCTGGTTATTTCCGGGCGTCTGTTGCTGGCGTTTACTTTTAGTTTTAATTTGACAGCCCGCATTATTTTGCTATGATTTGCACTTCTTAATTAATTATTTTTCGCTTTCGTAACTAAATGCGGATCGTAGCTGTGTCAGCAAATAAGAGGCACACCCACATGTGCGCGCACACACACACATCCACACACACACACACACACACACAGAAGCAGACACACACGCACATGTGGCAGGCAACCCTTCAACCTCAGTGCCTGGAGGAGCACAGGCAAAACAAACTTCGACAAAAACTTTCTACGTTCATTTTTTTTTTTGTTTTTTTTTGTCGACGCTTGGCCTGGCGAAAGCAAATGTGGAGACTGGTTTTGGGCTGTGAATAAGAACATTTCTGAGAGAGAGAGATTCGCAAATGCAATTGGCACATTTCTTGGCACCTTTGACACATGCGGCGTATGCGTAATATGCTAAGGCAAAATCAATGCCCGAATGAAATGGCTTAGCGTGCAAATTCCCAACTTATGTCAATTGACAGGCAACGATGCAGACATGCCTAATACTTCTTTGTTTCATTCAAATAAGGCGTCTCTTTTTTTGTTTTCTAATATATGTATATTGTTGTACGTATACCGCCTGGCTGATAGTTAAGCCCTGCCCTGCAGCCCTGTCGCTGGGCTGCCAATTGAACCCAACGGGCGTCTGTTCCATGTCAATTGCATTTAGCTGGCTATGCAAATTGGCAAAGCGTTTGCCATTTTCCGTTCGACGGCTGCTCATTATTTAGACGCTTAACGCGCGTCGCTTTGCATTAGGTGATTAAGTTTTGCAGCGCCACCTGTCGGTCGGAGTTGAAATTACGCTTTGTGCGTTTTCTGCCGTCGTCGTTGCCGTTGTCATTGTCGTTTGACATTTTGTGAAGCAATGCGGTTTTTGTTTTCGCATCCAATTGTCGCCGCTTCGCTTTCCACGCATTCAATTTTTCCCTTTTTTCCACGCTGCGAAATCCTTGACTGCGGGTGCCAAATGTCAAAGTGGTTGCAACACACATGTAGCTCAGCCCAATACTAACACACACACACACACACACACACACGCACACACATACAGGTGTACGTTGTTGTCATCTCCATCGCATCCATGCCCTGGCTTGTAAATTGCTCTGGCAAACAAATCACGTAGTCGGTGTACCAAGCGCCGTGCATGGCTTGTTGTCGTCATATCAAAAGCCAGAAGGCTGCTGGATTTTCGCGTTGTTGTAGCTGAAATGGCTAAAAGCACTGTGCCGAATTTTGCTCCACCTCTTTCCAAATCAGACTCCCCTCAAATCGAGTGAGGAAGCTGCTAAACAACCGCAACGAAGCCGTCATAGTTGCCGTTCGCTTGTCTGGTAAATCTTGAGCTTTGAATCGTTTGTCTATACGCAAAGTGTTTGCTATGGAAAATTTTCACTTTACTTTTTTCTCTTTTGTTCATTATGATCTAAGCATCTGCAAGTGTCATGAAAAATTGAGGAAAATGTGTGCAGTTTGCATAAGAGAAATTTCAAATGCAAACATCTTCAACTGAAAAAACAGATGCGATCGTGTCGTGAGATGGTTATTTGTTTTTATTATATATTTGTATTTTTGCAAACACATGGAAAATAAGAGATTGTGTCCACAAAACAAATTATCACAGCATCCAGATAAATAGACCATAATCAAAAAAGCATTTTAAATGAAATAAAGTGACACGAAATTCCGAATTGAATCGCATCACAAGCCAAAATTCGTGTCCTTTGAAAGTCTTTCTAATTACACGGTAAATGTGCATTAAAAGTTTGCACAAGAACTTGGTTGTGAAATCAATTACCAAAAGGAAAAACTCGACAACGCAATGATGCAACAAATTAAAACGCATGTGAGGAAAGCTAATGAAATGTTCTATGGCAAAAAACGGCCCACCTAAGGATGGGGCCGAGCGGGTTGATTGTCAGATGGGGTAACTGAAGTTCATAGAATTTTTGCCAGGGGCGGAAATTACCAAAAATGTGCCGAGCGCAACAAAAACAACAATCAAGTGAGCGAAAATTAAGGCAAGTGGAGTTAAAAGTTAAGCCAACAAATGAAGATGAGGCTGGAATAGAATGAAAAGATCTCTCTACATATATATATGTGGGTTTGTTGTATAGCCTATCACACAAACGCACACACACATACACATACACACACACACACACACACACACATGTACTTGTGTGCACACCCGGGCACAGACAAACTGAACGAACCCCAACTCTGGCGCAATTTTACGCAACAACAAAAAGTTTAATTGAGGATAAACTTTGCTGCGTTTGCGCTGCCGTTGAAAATCAACTGCGGGCCGGATAGAAAAGACGTGGGCGTGGCATATGTGTACCGCTTATCTTAGCTGTTTAAGTTTTCGCTTTCTACTTTGCATTACAGCTTGACTCAGTTTTCTATTAGTTTTCAACATCAGTTCCCATAACGAGCAGAACTTTAAGGTTTCATTTTCCAGCACACGTACAAGAAAACAAAAAAAAAAAAAGAAATCGAATGAAATTATTTGGACATTTATTGGTCGTTGGGGGCACGCTTTCTTCGCCTTTGTTTGCCAAAGCCAAATGAATGGCAAATATGGATGAAAAGCGCATGAGAAACGACCTGAACCTGAACTCTAGCTGGCAGTGCAGTCCAGTTTCGTGCAGCGTCTGACCCGCACACATGCTCACACACACACACACATGTACATGTGCCATAATTCGTTTTAGATGGACGAAGCACAATGAAACACAAATGACCTGAATAAAAGCGATTGACTCTCCCAACCTCTTCTCGCTTCTACAGAGCCCTTAGGATGATTAGGAAAACAAATTTAAAGCTTAAAAAAAAGGGCATTCAATTGTTTTAAAAATGTTGCAATGCTCTTTTTTTGTAACACGTTGGTATTTACGTTGACAAATATGAAAATAATATAGTGAATATATGCCGAAAACAAACCTAAAGTACTTAGAATTTATATGAAAATTAAAATGCGTATTGGAATTCTTGAATTCCAATCGAATACTAGGCAAATGTATATCAGTCGACCTTCCCATTGTATTGACTTGCTTACCAACACTGCAACTCTTTCAATTATATTTCAGTGTTGCAAAATCCATAAGAAAGCTGTTGTGCCAAGCTTTAGAGCACGAAGTCGACCAATACCACGGTCTAGACAAACAATTGAAGCAATTTTTACTTTTTATACCAAGTTGAACGATTTTTATTAAAGGCTATCAGTCATTGAACACACACGTTGTTAATCCTTGCTGAGCTTTGGCTCTTACCACAGTGCAGGAGCTGCGGCATAGCCCAACGGAGCTGGTCCATAAGCCAACGGGGCAGAGTACTTGGCAAACACCGGTGCCGCATAGGGATGGGCATAGGCAGCCGCATACGGATGGGCAATGGGTGCAGCAGCCAATGGAGCGGCGACTGGTCCAACAGCCTTAATGATGGGCGCAGCGAAGGGAGTGGCCACATGTCTGAAAACTGGAGCAGCCAGAGGAGCAGCCACTGGTGCCACAGCCCTGATGACTGGTGCTGGAACGGGAGCGACTGGAACTGGGGCGGCAGCAAACACGGGCGCAGTTGCGATGCCATTGAATGTTCTGGCCACCACTTGGCTACTGGCAGCAGTCACCACCGGACCGGGTGCAGCAAAGACGGCAGCTGGAGCAGCCAGCGGTGCGTGCAGCAATCCCGGCTTGCCGGCAACGCAGGCAATCAAAGCGCAAATGACAACGGCCTGTGAAATTTTTGACAAGGATTAGTTGGTCCCCATTGATACACCCTTTACCAAAGGCTACTAACGTATTTGAACATCTTGATTTTAGATTTTTGTTGTTTGGTGACTTGCTGTTGATAGCTGGTTGAAAGCGAATTGCTAACTGATGTCAAACTAAGGCCATGCAGCGCATATTTATACCCAAGAAGCCGACGCTCTACCGAAGCTACTTAAAATGCGCCCTGCGTGGAGCACGTTGGCCATTATAAGTGGCGGCATTATAATTGGTAGTTGAGTTACTTTTGGTTCCAGCAATGTCTTTGAGGGTCTCCGGAGCTGCCCACAAAACCCGAAGGGCAGCCAATTTCGATTGCCGCAGCTCATTATACAAAATTTGTATGAACATCAAAGTGCACGAAATTTGAAATATCAATATACAAGCACAGACAATGTAACATATATAAAACATTTATCTGGCATTTACTGAAATGTACCTATAATTGACTTTTACGGATTATAGTCAAAGTTCAGTTTCGAATAGGAAATGTAAGAACAGATGGATCAAAATATACCAAAACACGGAAAAAGGTTTAAATATTCATCCAGAAGCGCATAGCAACAACTTTACAACGAACAAACAAAAAAAAGAATCATTCAAATCGTTCGAGCCCTTCTTGACTTTTATAGAAGTACAAATTTTCACTAACGATGAATGAAATGACGTCACAATCTACGTGGTTCACGAGCCGATTAACGGCCGGCCTTGTGCGTAATGTTTTTATTTTAATACCATGAAATACCATCTGCACAAAAGCAACAACATCAATGAAAAAACCTATTGTTAGCACTGCAAGGCCAACCGACGAAAGAGAACGCGAAATAAAACAGTTAGAATTTTTGTCACTTGTTCTTTTTGCATATCATTTCCTATGTAACGACGTTCTAAGCCTAGCATCGCCAAACGATCAAAAAGAAGACGAGAACAAACCCGTTTCCTAAACGTACCGTTGCTTTGCAGTACTTTGTTCTTGCTTTCTGTGGTTAATGGGAAATAAGAAGTGTGGGTGTTTCACATGCACAAAGCGAGCTAGCTAGCGACTCAGGGAGGCTACGACTATACTCTTTTGCAGGGCATATTATATTGTACATACAAACATACATACATACATACATACATACATATGTTGTATTGCCATGACTACGTATAAAATAAAATGCAAATATTAATTAATGCTATGCATTTTATATGTACTTACCGCCTTTACACCATTCTGTATTCCTGATTATGAACACATTTCTGGCTTATGCTTTTGCTTTTCCAATTCGCGAACTCCAATCTATGTATGTATGTGTGCATCTTTGTAGCAGGTAGGGAAAGCAATATTTCTACTAAATTCCACATGCTCAAACACATTTCCTTGCGCTCCAGGCAATTAGTCGGCCTGGTAGGCATCCAGAACAGTTCAGAGAAATAGACGAATTAACCAATTTGGGCACGTACAACAGCCGAAATTATTATTTTTCACACCTGGCTACAGGTCAGCCAACACACGCACATACACAAACTCACACACACACACAGTCGAAGGCCCACACAGTGGACACTTTTGCTTATTGGCACAAATATTATTTCAGTCGTATTTTACACATTTATTTTGGGTCAAGGCTGCTGCAACACGAGTTTTACTTTAAGCTTTAGCGCACTTTTGTTAAAACACAATAAATAATTTATTTAGACGCTTTTAACACCACGCGACATTGCATTTCCGAAGAATGAGGGAGGAAGAGAGAGAGAGCCAAATATTAGCGATGGTAGTGGGGTAGATCTTCGTGCTTTAATAAAGTGTGTAAAAATTAATTTCATATGACAACTTGAGCTCATGACGATATGAAAGAAGGGTAAAGATAGGTAAATACGCAAGATAATAAGGTAAAAAGATTAAAGCCGAGCAATAATTGCCAAGCTTTCCCCAAAAAGGGCTTCAAGGTCTATCGATCGCTCTATCGATACAAAACATTCGATAGATACCGAGTCATTCTTAAAATGTGCAAGGGCTGGCAACCTTCAGCCCAGTTGAGCTTTAAATTAAAAAAAAAAAAAAACAAGTATTATTAATCAAACGCACTTACTACAGTTACAGTTAGGCCAACGGTAGCTGCTTTGGTTTACTTTGTCTGCGCGCTCTGCATGCTAATTTAGACTCGTTTTTATTTATTTTTTGTATATTGTCGTTTTTCTTCTATTGCGCGTCGGTCACGTGCGTTTTGATTTGCTATAAAAATAAATCGAAAACGAAGACATGTCATCAAACACATTTTCGCTCTTCAAGTGGCAACTCCAAAAAGCAATCAGAAATCCCTCAACATGTTCAAATACGTAAGTTGTCGCCTTTTTTATTGCACCCTACCGCCGGCTCCTAGTACTCACATCATATTTTCTGTTCAGACTGTCGTCCTCTGCGCCCTGCTCGCTTGCGTCGCCGCCAAGCCTGGAATACTGCACACACCGCTGGCTGCTCCGGCTGCCATCATCGCTGCACCCGCTCCTGTGGTAACTGCCACCAGCAGCCAAGTGGTGGCCAGGAACTTCAATGGTATCGCTGCTGCGCCCGTGATTGCAGCTGCTCCAGTTGCCGCTCCAATCGTCAGAGCTGTGGCACCAGTTGCTGCTCCTCTGGCGGCGCCGACTTTTGCTCATCCTCTGGCTGCGCCGCTTATTGCCAAGTACGCGGCTGCTCCTTTGGCTGCGCCAATTGCTGCTCCTCTGGCTGCCCCAGCCTACGCCAGATACGCAGCTCCATTTGCCTACAATGCACCGCTGCGCTACGCTGCGGCTCCTGCGCCACTTTTCATTTAAATAAGAAGACTCTGTGATCCTATGAATAAATTTTTAAAATTCTTGACTAAATGTTAAAAAAAAAACACGTGTTTTAAAGAAACTAGAAATCTGTGTAACCTTAAGACCCGTTTGGCTAGAAGGATGACCAACTCTCAATCACTAGAAAGCACAATTTTCCAAAAATTATTAAGTATATCCGATTGAGATTATTTAAAAAATATAACCTAGTAGGGCATTAATAGATTCCAATTCTATTTGTGTATCGTTAGGTTTATCTTATTGAAAGGTCATGTTTATCACATGCCTCATAAAACCGCACAGGTTTTTAACCTTTGGCCCCTCAGCTATGTTAGCATATACCTTTTGTTAAATTATATATTACCTGTACATTTCCCCATGACCTTGACATAAATACCAGTCTTTTCCAACAACAAACTCAAAGCTAGCTTTGGACACTTTAATGTCACGCGTCGTCCAACAAAAACAACATTAACTGCCGGCGATTTTAACGCGATCTACGTGACTTGCACAGCAATTGGGCTCCGGTCGTTGCCGTTGCCGAGTTTTTGTTTATATCCGAGCCTTAAGTCCAATTAGCTCATCCAGAGGGCTTCCAGAGATAAGTAAGGCCTAAGTTCCTTTAATGATTTCGATATTTGCATATATTATTTTTTATCCATATTCCAAAAAACAGAACTGAATCCCAGGAGCCGCAGCAACCACTGGTTCAAGGGCGATGACATTATAGTCACCAGCAAACAGTTGGCTACCGGTTGCAGTCACATATGGGGCAGGAGTTACGACAACTGCATCCGGAGTAGCAGCCACAGTTGGAGCAGTATAAGTTGACTGCTCCTCAAAAAGACCAGTCGCAGCTGCAGCACGCGCGAGGATGGCAAAGATGACAACGGCCTGTAGATAATTATAAATTAGTATACGGTCGTTAAACGAACAACCACAATATCTTATTGAGTTTGAAGCCATGCAAATATGTCTACAGCCTGAATATCCAATCTACGCAAAGAGGACTTCGAATATGACCTTATGCACTTTTAAAATTTGTGGGCCACACGACACGTTTTACATTAAACATCGGAAAACATAACAAAATGTTAACTGTGTTCACAAACTGACTTCGCATTCCAATGAACCACATGACTCACAACTGGCTGCAGACTATTTTCGGGTATAAATACGGACTGGCCATTTAGGTGGGACATCACACAGTTTGCAGCTAAACCCACGAGCAGCACAGCCCACAAATCTTCAACATGTTCAAATACGTAAGTTTCAGATGGAAAGTTTCCTGCGAAACTCTAGCACCGACTCAACTGCATTTGTTTACAGACCGTTGTTATCCTCGCTATCATCGCCTGCGCCTCTGCCAAGCCGGGTCTGCTCCTGGGCGAGCAGTTGGCTTATAGCGCTCCAATTGTAGCTGCTGCTCCTGCTGCAGTGGTCGCAGCTCCTGCCCCATATGTGACTGCTACCAGCAGCCAGGTGTTTGCCCGCAACTACAATGGCATCGCCACTGCACCAGTGCTTGCTGCTGCTCCCGTCGCTGCTCCAGTGGTGGCCAAGTATGCGAGTGCGCCGTTGGCTGCTCCAGTCATCGCCAAGTATGCGGCAGCTCCGCTGGCAGCTCCTTTCGCCTACAGCTCGCCGCTGGCTTACGCAGCCGCTGCTGCGCCTGTGCTGTTGTAAGAATATCTCGTTTGAATTAAAAATAAAAAATCCAAAATCTCAATAATTGCATAAATTACTGTTTTATGTGGGAATCGGTAGCTCTGCGGGGCAGCTCAATATCAATTTATAGCCACAAAGCAAAAGTAAAGGCCGCGAACAAACTTCAATTGGATATTTGGATGCAGCTCACGTAGGCAGCGTAAAATTATTGTCAACAGCGGTAAACGGTAAATGGAGCTAAATAGTTTTTTTTTTAAGTTTTTACTTATTTGTGTCAAGGTTGCAGCGGCCATCTTACCAAGGTTCTGCAGTTGAATGAACTTTCAAGCGGGGTCTAGAACGTAAGATCAACTGAAGCTAAATAAATGTAAATTATATTTATAGCTTTTTTCTCCTTAAGACTTGTGTAAGACTTGACAGTTGCAAAATACGGTTTGCTGTAATGATTTAATCGGACAATCTTCTCTGCGCAAATCGAAACAGAGCTGCATTTCGATACGAGAACTGACATTGCAAGTGTGGCCACTACAATGCCTTTTCTCAACTGTCAAAGTGCTGCCCATGTCTTAATATTCTTAGATTTTCTAACAGCTCGCAAAAAGGCGTTGCCAGATGTGAAAATGATATTCAAAAGAGCTTCAACCGTTAAGTTTAAGGAAGCTCGGAGAATGCGGACAGAGATTCTTAAATGTTCTACTTAAAAACTATGATTAGATTTTAATATTTATTTTTCGACACACTTTCAAAAAACGAAGATAATGCTAATTGTAGCATGCCTTTACTTGTTTTTAGAACAAAAGATAGCCAAGTCAAGGCTACAAATCGGTTTGTTAATAGCCCGAATTTATTGCCATTATAACAGCCAACCCATATACTTACTTAGATTTGTGACAAATTGAAAAGCTCCATTGAAGATTTAAGGAATTTTGGCACGCCAGGAATCAAAGTCGATCTAGGCAAACCTTAAGGCAAGGTAATCCAAATAGTTTATGATACAAATTTATAGCCGGTTCGTTTAATTAAATTTGTTTAATGATCACAGTTGCATGGCTTTAAAACAATAGAGGAGCTGGCCCAGCAGCATAGCCCAGTGGAGCGCTATACGCAAGAGGAGCGTATCTGGCGACGAATGGAGCAGCAACTGGTGCAGCCAAAGGCGCACTCACATACTTGGCCACCACCGGAGCAGCGACGGGAGCAGCAGCAACCAATGGAGCAGTGGCGATCCCATTATAGTTACGAGCAAACACCTGACTGCTGGTAGCAGTCACATATGGGGCAGGAGCTGCGACAACTGCACCTGGAGCAGCAGCCACAATTGGAGCAGGATAAGCGAACGGCTCGCCAAGAAGTCCAGGCTTGGCTGCGGCGCAGGCGATGATGGCAAAGATGACAACGGTCTGTGGACAAGTATTAGTTAGCATAAGAGCAAGGCAAAAAAATAAAACAACTATTTAGCTTACGAATTTGAACATGTTGCTAAAGGTTTTAGTTTAGTTATTTCGGGCTAATATTTGCAGCTTGAGAGCTTGAACTCTTTTGATGTCATTTCATGAATTTGGCTGTGGTATTTATACCCAAAAAAGGACTGAGAAATTGAACTCGCTCTTCAAATTTGTGGAGCACACGACGTGTTATACATTAAACAGCGGAAAACATGCGAAGTGATAATAGCTACAACATGTTAACAGACTTCGCATTCCAATGAACCACATGACTCACAACTGGCTGCAGACTATTTTGGGGTATAAATACGGACTGCCCATTTGGGTGGGACATCACACAGTTTGCAGCTAACCCCACGAGCAGCACAGCCCACAAATCTTCAACATGTTCAAATACGTAAGTTTCAGAGGGAACAGTTGCCTGGATGAAAAAGTGCATCTCTGACGGAATTTATTTACAGACCGTTGTTATCCTCGCCATCATCGCCTGTGCTTCTGCCAAGCCGGGCCTGCTGCTGGGCGAGCAGTTGGCTTATAGTGCGCCAGTTGTGGCTGCTGCTCCAACTGCAGTAGTTGCAGCAGCAGCTCCTTACGTGACTGCCAGCAGCAGCCAGGTGTTTGCCCGCAACTACAATGGCATTGCCGCTGCGCCAGTGCTTGCGGCAGCACCAATCGCTGCTCCAGTCGTCGCCAGGTATGCAGCTACTCCGTTGGCTGCACCTCTGGCGTACAGCACTCCCTTGGCCTACAGCTCGCCTCGATTGGGTCCAGTTCTCTTCTAGGAACTTTTTAAATGACTGCAAATAAAATCTTAGACGCCTAATAAGTCTTTGTTTTGATTGATTCAATTGTAAGCCTACGTTGCGCACCTGTAATCCATTTGGGATTGTTATCACGTGCTGTCCAATTTTTTTCCATTGTATATTTTATATGTGTCAAGGTCGCCGCAGTTTACTGCTCTTTCGTTAGCACACGCAGTAAAATACTATTTTAATTTTCAGGTAATTGATATATAAAATTGAAGGAACTTGCTATGAGCTGGAGAACGTTGTTTAGCTAACTGAAGCAATTAAAATGAGAGAATAAACCTACACGAAATAAGAGTTACCATGGCGCTGCAAGAGTGTCAGCCCTGGAGCTGTCAAAGTACCATTTTTACATCTGGCAACGCCCCTTTATTTCGAAAAGTTTTCATTATAGTCAGCAGGAAATGGACTGAAACCTGTTCATTTTTCTGTTGGCTCTGGCCAAGCTAAGAACACTTCGGAAGTTCTTAATTTTTTCCAATTTTTTGTTTTTTGCACTAACTTAAATATAATATATAAATTAATATACAGATTGCAGGCCAAAATCTGTGTAATATAATTGATTAATGTATTTAGAGCAAGGCTAACCCCAAATCAAAGGTTATTTCAACTGCGGTAAGTTGGCCGACAGTCACATAATTTGACAGCTGAATATTTTAAAAGTAAACTATTTAGGCCATCTGAAGACCACGTGACCACATCCGATGGCGATTTGAGCTTTACGTTCATTAGTTTAAATTGAGGTAACATCAATTTATTTGCTAGTTTCTGGGAGTTTGTATTAAAATTGAAATGCGACTAGGCCCCAGGCTGTGGCGCACATCGATGGCGTGCAGTAGGCCCGGGGAGCAGCCAATGGAGCAGCAGCATACTTGGCGATGACTGGAGCAGCAACTGGAGCAGCTGCTATCACTGGAGCAGCGGCGATGCCATTGAGATTATGGGAAAGCACCTGGCTGCTGGTAGCAGTCACGTAAGGAGCTGGAGCTGCAACTACTGCAGTTGGAGCAGCAGCCACAACTGGCGCACTATAGGCCACCTGCCCGCTCAGAAGAAGATCCGGCTTGGCCGAGGCGCAGGCGATGATGGCGAGGATAACAATGGTCTGTAAAGGATTTGGAGTAACTTCTTTACTCTGCTCCATTATCCAGGCATAATTACCACTGCTCGATCTTAAGCAATTTGTTCAAATTCGAAGGCTTACAATTTATTTTCCTTTTTTATTATTTTTGTTTCCATAGACCGTTGTCATCTTTGCCGTTGTCGCCTGTTCTGCTGCCCGGCTGTGCGTGTTCTTGGCGAGCAGCTTACTTATACTGCTCCAATTGTGACTGCTCCTCTAGCTGCAGTAGTTGCCGCTCGAGCACCCTATGTGACTGCGGCGAGCAGTCAAGTGCTTTCCCATAACGTCAATGGCATTGCTACTGCTCCAGTGATCGCTGCTGCTCCAGTCGCGGCTCCTGCTGTTGCCAAGTATGCTGCAGCTCCCTTGCCTGCTACGCTTCCCACTGGAGCTGCACATGAAGGGTCTTATTCTCAAGATGGGCTCGATTTAAGGCTAAATAAAAACCGATTATCCCTGAAACTGCCTAAATGCTTAAAAAGTGTTTACTTTGCTTAACACACACACGCTGGCTTGGGATTTTGTTATCCTTGCGTCTGGCTTTTGCACATGGTTATTTGTTAGTTTCCGCGTATTTATCTGAAATGCTTTAATGGCGCATTTCATGCACTGATGCACAATTTGAAAAGCCATTTTTGGTCTCACGCTTGCCGATAAACGATAAAATTCTTTGCAGGCACACGGGCTGCTGAAGGAGAAGCTAGGAAAAATCCCTGCCATATGTGGCAATATTTTTGGCACTGAATTTATTTAGGCTCTATGTTTGCCGGTTGCCTGCTAATTTGATTTGTTGCAAACTTGTTTGTAATTACAAAAACCGAACAACAATGACAGCAAGAGCGTAATTGAATTTACCTTTTGGGTTGAGCCCCGCACGGAACGCTTCGGCCGGGCAAACGGCAAACTGCAACCGGAATTGTGTGAAAAACTGTGCGACTTTCGCGTTCTCCTCTAAATAATTAAAAGTTTGCCCTTGCCCAGGCAACGCGCTGGCCGCCCATTTTGCGTTTTTGTTTGCCATTTGTAATTGCTGTTAATGGCAAAAACAAGCAACAGTACATGGCCTTTGTTAACCGGCAAAAACAGAGCTGCGACCCAAAGCCAACCTCCCAACCCTTTCTCGCTTCATAGCTCGCAAACACTCGCAACACGAATTTTGCATTAAAAAATCTCGCACCCAACTCTGTAAAACTCCGGACTCCGTATGGCGAAGGCAGAAGAGTACTGGCATGCCAGGCTCAGGACATGGCCTAGTCAAAAAGTAGAAGTACGTACATGTATTTATTTATGTGTTGTTTTTTTCTTTACTCACTTATATTGTAGACTGGAGAAAATTGGTTAAATCTGAACATTTGTTCTAATGTTGTACGGCAGAATGTGTCTGTTACTCGTGCGAAAAGATGAGAAAAAAGTGCAAGCGGATAATTTGGAGCATAAATATATATATATATCTTAATCTATAGAAAGCTGAGAGCTGGGAACTGAATACTAGTTTGGTAAGTTAAGTAATTTGTATTTCTATAAGCTTTAATTAAGTCTGCTGCAGACTTGTCCAGTAAAGGATTATCATGTTTTTCTCATTTGATTTCATAATTGAATTAAAATATCTTCGAAATGTCTTATGGTATAAACTTGTATAGACTCTCTCCATTTGTGAACGAGCTCATTTATGCCTCAAAATGCACCGGAAATAACAAATTTGGTAGTGTTGGAAAACACGTAACACAACCCTTTCCCTTCTACCGTCGCCTTGCACACAACTGTACTAGAGCACAGTTTTCCTTTTGAAAAGTATTCTTAGTCGAACCACACTTTTGCCAAGAAAATTGTTTTAAATGAACAATTAGCATGAATTTACTTTTCACTTTACATATTATTGCCTGTCGTTTGCCTCTAACATTCCACTCATTGTAGTTCTGTGCTTACCTGTATTTTATAAGCTAGTCTAATGCCTAATTAAAATATGCCCTAAACAAAGGGAGTTATTAAATAGATTGCGAATAAGTAAAAACAAAACAAAATGAGAATATTCATTCATAGGGACAAAGTAAATATATATATATTCAATTTGAATGACCTACTTGCGAATTTGTTGTGCTTTGAGCCGTTGCTAATGACCCAGTCGTACTGTGCTTGCGCCCTCTGACCTTTGCCCAGCTTATCGTCCTTGCTAAGGAGTCGTCTGCTTGTCTGCCGGTCGCTAATTAGGCTAAGCAAATTATGGAATATGATTAATAGAGAGCACGGGAAAGCAATTAACTTTTTGCGATAAACAGCTGGAAGAGGAATTAATGTGCTCTTCAATTGCAACCTGGCCCAGGCAAAGGTCTTTCCAAAAAAAAAAAAAAAAAAAAAAATTCCGCAGATATTTTACAATTCACGTAGTGACATTTGCATTTTTGATTACTTCAATATTTGCTGCATTGCTTTTTGTTTATCGGTAGGTGTTGGGAATTTCTTTTTTGGCCGGATCGTCGAACGTGTCATGCAAATAAAAAAGGCTGTGGAGCAGGAAGTTTGGGGGGGGGGTGGTCTATTTGAATTGGCATACAAAAGGTCAGCAAGGCCCTAAAAATTTACCCAGCCGCATTTTGGGTTATTTCTTTATGCAAATCATGGCGGGCGGGAGCGGGGCGTGACAAGCTCTGATTATGCGATTGTTGTTGTTGCTGTTGTTGGTTGGGGCTTCGGCTGATTTATTTTGTTCATGGTGTCATTTGCTTAATTTGTTTGTCGCGCTTACGCACTGCAAAGATTCAATCAAAAACCCGTTTTTATATTTTAAGTCCAAAGACAATGGCCAAAACAGGCAAAGTTCAGGCCAAGCCAGACAATGGGTCGATGGGTATTATATTACCAGGCAATTGTTGAGATGAAGGGCCTGTGCATTCGGGGTATGCGACTTCGTGCTTAAGCAGCAAAACCTTAAATGCGAATATGGTAGGGCAGTTATAGCAACACCCACACGCTCGAGCAGGGAGCAGGGATGAGCGACAGGATTCGGATTCGAATACGGGAGACCGGACTCGGCCCTCTGACGTGTTACTGCTACTGCAGCAGCAGCCGGAGCAGCGAGCCACACTTAACCTTGGCTGTATACGGCCGAGGACACGCCACTTAACTTATGAATTAAATTCCTGCGCTCCGCAAAGCCCGAAGTCAGCGTCAGAGTACGGCATATTTAATGGCCAGCACACACAAGTTTAGCCCAAAAAGCGCTACGGGCTGCCTATTAGCTGCCAAAAGCTTGCGCTCTCGCAAAAGGAGCGCGAATTTCAAGCTTTCTGCGAGACTTTCCAGTCAGCGCCAACTCTCTGCAGGCGAAATGTGCTCTCTTGTTGATGTCCAAAGAGAACCGTGGGTAGTTTCAACTCGAAGGAATTGTTTATTGGGTAGTCTACGTATAATAAACTGCAATTGTAGACATGACAGCTAGCTAAATAAAAAATGTAAATATATATGTACACATTTCTTTTGGGCTACTCAGGTGGGAAACAATGGTATGAAAGTGCCATTGCATTCAGACTTTTGTTTGGGCGGAATTATTGTCTTTGACTTGCGATGATTGGCCGTAAGCAGAAACAGCTTCTCGAGCATATTATCAGCCTGGGCAGCGTTCATTGCGAACACATGGATCGCACCGGACTCATAGACCTTGGCCGCGACACTGGGTATATTTTTGTTCACATAGTAGGCATACCGCAGGCTATCCTGCACTGTATCGGAGCTGAGGGAATACGTTTGGCTGAACTCCTCAATGCAAATGTGCCACGGAAATTGGGCGATGTGTATCATTTGGGAGTGCAATGCATTATGCTGGGCCATGTTCGCGGTCGCGGCATCGCTCAGTATTTTGCCTAATATACACTTTTGGGTATCGACAAGTATGGCCTTGCTGCGCGCATTGCTAATCAGTATGCTGCCATTATCCCAAATCCAAGCCATTTGGGCGGCATCGTAACTCATTTGCAGCACCTGTATATCGCTGTTGTATACCGCATTGTCTAGCTCCAGGGCCAGCTGATTCATATCCAAGTTGCAATTCACCTCCAGCGTGCTGTACGCCCGCACCAGCTTCATTTCCACTGGCATTTTGGTGCGTTCGATTTTGCGTTTGGTTGGTGGCCGCAATATGCGCAACTGTTGCAATCCCTGATCCAGATGCGTTGGCAGCGCTGGCATTTCCAGGACACGCTTCAAACTGTCCAGGTTCCTTTTGCCGGCATCATTTAGCCATCGGCTAGCGCGCAGGCGTTTACCTTGCGGATCCCGAAACTCGGTCATATTCTGATCAATGATGTCATCAAAGTCATCCAATCGTCGTTTGTAGCTGTTCTCCCATTGACCCGGGCTCTGCGGTATGCCAGCTGTGATTTTTAGCTCCGACTCGGGGCGCATGCCCTCACCCGTTGACGTTTTAGTTTTGGGCTGCATTTGCGCACTTTCGCTGATCTGTGCTTCGAAATCGATGGGCTCTATGTGTGCCGCATTGGGCAGCCTTTCTGGCACTCTGATGGGCAGCGAGTCGAGTCGGCTTTGTACCACGCGAGACAGATCTTGGCCCAGTTGCTGCAGCCACAGTTGCACGGCGTCCTCTTGCGGCTTTGGCGTCGCAACAAGCTGCGGCAGTTTTTCCACATTAACTATTAATGCCTGATCAGGCCTTTGGGTCAGTGGCAATTTCTCGTTATCGGGCTGATCATCCGTGTTGATGTCAAGCTTCTGCTTTTGTTGTTGCTGCTGCTCTTGCGGCTGATCTATGACAATGATTGAGTCTATGGCCTTCTGCATGTCCTCGTTTTTGATGACAAGTGGTGCCACATTTGAGAGCTCCACCCTTTCAGTTACTCGCTGCTGCGTCGTTTCTATCACAGTTCGTTCCTTAACTAGCTCCAGCTCAACGGATGTATCCTGTCCTTCCCTTGAAGGCGCCGTATGCATGCCTTTACCTGGCCTTGCGTGTACCAACATTTTGGGACGCAGCAAATCTTGCAACGCTTTTCTATTTTCCTCACTTCTGGCCATGTTCAGCAGCATTTCAAAGGCTTTGATATCACTGAGCGGCGTATGGAGTCGTTTTGACTTTAGAAAATCCACCAGGCCGCGCTCCTCGTCCAGGCTCAGATCTAAGCTATCCAATTCCACAAAGGACACGCTTGCTGCGTCCTGTTGCGTTTGCTGGTCAAACTCCTCTCTTCGCTCGTAGCTAGAATCCCAGTTCGCGAGGCTAGCGATCACCTGATCCAGGTCGTTGACCTGGCTTGGCTGTGTGCTTTCGACCGACGTTGATTTAACCGACCTTGCTTTGGCCACGGGCATGGAACTGAATGCATTTTGCATTGTGCAGCAAATTGGCCATTCGGGCTCAGCGCCCTGTTTGGATGCCTCGTAGCTAAGCCAAATATCCTCCGATGTCGGCAAATGGTCTATATCACTTTTCTTGATGGGCGATATGGGCCTAAAGTTCTGATCGTGCAACCAATCCAAATCTCTAGCCGGCGAATGTTGGGTTGTAAAAACTTCCG